TGATTTCAGTGCAGCTCAGTATATTTCACTGAAGGTGAAAAGTTTCATATCAAGAGCATGATGGGTTGTTCTTGTGTATCTTTTATTATGTGGAAGTTTTTGACTGGTTTTCTTTAAATTATGTAATTAAATAATTATGAGTGAAAACTAAAATACTCTCAAGTACAGTACATTTGAATAATGTGAACTACTGTACCATTAGTAGTTACCTAGAAACTGAGTAATTTGTTGGCCAAGTTTATACCCAGAGTCAGTAGTAACAGAATTCATGGATGTTAAATTGTCCAGAATATTCACCTGATCTTTAGTATTATTTCTTTACAGGTATAATCACTAATTGGATATTTTGACTTTATAGATATTTTGCAATTTTCTTTCATTAAAAAATTATAGCTTGTTTTGATAAAATACATTTATATGATAAATTCAATTAAAAATTGTTATAATTCTATAAACATAGATTAAATATTATTAAATTCACAGTAGATAAGAAGGTGATGGGAATGAAATGATTTAATCAGATAAGGTTCCTACCCTCACATTTTATTCATTTCTTTTTGAATGTACCTAAATCATTAATACATAAGAATTGAAAAGAACCCATCATGTCTTATAAAATAGTATCTTGAGTTATTTCTGGAAGATCTTTTTTAATTATTCTGCACTCTATACCCAATATCCAGGTAAATGGCCATAATTGGCACACATTTATCAAGCACTTTCCCAGTAAATTTATGTAAGTATTGTGCTGTCAAAGTTTGAATTTCAACAATATCACTTATTAATCTTACTGAAAGGAATACACAGACAAATATACAATTACATCTAAATCAAAAAAGCTGAAGGGTCAAATGCAAAAAATAATGTTTTCAATTCTTAATATCCAAGAAGATTATGTTAGATTTTTGTCTGTTACTTTAATGAGATACCTAAAGCTGGATACTTTGTGCAGAAATGACATTTATTTAACATGCGGTTTTGGAGATTACAGGGTATGGCACCTACAAAGGCTTGTCACCAGTGAGGCCCTTAGGGTGAACTGTTTCATAAAGAGAGGAGTGCCTGAGAGATGGAAAGATCACTTAGTAGGGCATGAAGCCAGAGAAGGACTCAAGTGTCAGTCTTGATCTTTTATCTTGAGAACTCACTCCGAGTCCCACAAGACCTACTTAATTCCTTCTAAGATTAGGGTGTCAAATGTCCTAACTGACTCCAGTTCTCACCATCACTAGACAGGGAATCACCCTTCCAACACATGAATTCCTAGGGGACAAACCACATTCAAACCATAGCAAGAATATTATTCATGGATTTGGGATATAGTTCAGTGGCATAAGAACTTGCCTGGCAAGCCTGAGATCATGAGTTTGATTCCTGGTACTAAAAAAAAAGAAAGAAAATAGATATTATTCAGAATTACTAAAGTTGGCCAATTCAGTATTTTTCCATGTTTTGCCACATATAAATTATACATCTATTATAACATTTCATTCATTTGGTGTTAGTATTTATAGTTTACTTCTTCTAGTGCAGATTGCTTTCTAGATGCATTGTATCTAACATAGATCACATGTCTAAGTTCACTTGGTATGTTAGTTATCTAGATAAGATGGAGGAAATTCAGGTTTACTGGTAGTATTCACTGATATGCCAGGAACTTATGAGGAAAACTATTTGAGAATTTTATCTATTATTTATATGCTGAGTACTATTGAAATCTGTTGAAAAAAGAGGTTGGAAATTTGGAAATGAGAATAACCTAGTCATAAATTATATAAAATATAAAAGTGAAGTATGTATCAGTGTGTATTTATTAGCTTTCAAGTACACGAAAAAACGTCCTATATTAGTCAGGGTAGTGAAGAAAATAGAACTAAAATTATTTTGTGTGTATGTGATTTATTAGAAGGAATGAATTTACATGATTATGGAGGCTGGCATGTCCTAAAATATGCCATTGACAAGCTAAAGAACCAAGCAAGGCAATGCTATAATTTCAGCCTGAATGCCATTAGGTTTGAGACCAAGGAAAAATTAATGTTTCTGGTTAAGTCTGAAGACTGGAAAAAGTCCATGTTCCAACTCAGGTACTGAGGCAGGAAAAATTCTTTCTTATTCAATGGAACATCAGATATATTCAGGTTTTCAATTTATTGGTGAAGTCTTGCTAAACTATAGAAAACAAACTGCTTCTCTCAGCTTGTAGGTTTAAATGTTAAAATCACCTCAAAACACTCTCACTGAAATAACCAAATTAATATTTAGTCAGATACCTGGACATCTCACATATCAGTCAAATTGATACTTAAATTAACCATCAAACCTACAAAAAACAAGAGGAAAAGATATCATTGTTTTATAGAAAATAGGACATAAAAATCATAGTAATTTAAGTGAATTTGTACATGCATCCCTTTTCTCCAACTTTACATGTTTTTCAGCATATTTTATAAATGTTTATTAAATAGCAGTATTTAAGAAAAATAAATTACCTACTTTAAATTTCAACCCTTCCCCTCCCAATCTGATTCCCGTAATCTGTTACCAAAGTGAAAAATCATTCAATGTACTCTCTGAGTCAACATAAAGCAAGCTCTAACCTTCATTTTCTTAAGTATCCGAAGATTTCAACTTTTTATCTTTATAAACAAGAGATCTCAAATGGCCAAAAGTCAGGAAAACAACAAATGAAAAGTGTGAAGACTATGTATTTAAATTTTTATCTATACCTTTCCTTCCAGCTAGAAGTATTGTACACATTATTAGCATTAAAATTATACTGAGCATACACAAATACAAGAGTTTAGATTTACTCTGAAACATATAATCACATGAAAAATAAATAACCTGCTCATTATTTCATAGTTTAACTGGCTCTTAAATAGCTTCCCAAGGGGTAAAAATAAGCACTTTGTGTTAAGAAAGTAGCACATATAATGAAGGGGCTATGTGTTAAATCCTGAAGAATCTGACAATGAGTTTATTTATTTATTTTTATCCCTAAAACTGCAATACAGGGGACTGAGTGTGTAGGTCAGTGGTAGAGCATTGGCCTAGTGCACTGGTGGCGAACCTATGGCATGTGTGCCACAGTGGGTTATCTGTTTTTGAGACAGGGTCTCTATGTAGCCCAGGCTAGCCTCAAACTTGTGGTGAGCCTCCCGCATCAGCTTCCTGAGTGCTGGGATTACAGGTGTGTGCCACCACACTTGGCCACATTTTACCTCATGTTGTATGAATTTGTGGCAAACAATGCAGTTTGTGGTTTTATCATTTGTTTATAATATATTTAGAATTTTTTAAAATGATCCTGACAATTCAACCCAGGGGCTTGTGCACACTAAGAAAGCACTCCACCAGTGTTAAACCTTCTCCGCCAACCCCCTATCCTGAAAATGCAATTTTTGATGTTAGAAATCCCATGCTTGAACGACACCTCAATTATCTAATTTTCAGTGGCTTTATGAAGCAAAGTTGTAAACAAATGTGGAAATTGTAACGACAGATTTGAGTTTAGTCTGAATAGCCTTCTGGTAATTAATTCTCATTGTGTGGAAGTTCTTCCATATATTAGTGTTACTTTACATTTAATTAAATAGCCATTGCTTTTGAAAATCATAGTATTCTGTTTAGGGGTTCTATTTGCACTTTTCGCAGTTTTATACTATGTGTTTCTGAATTTTAAGAGGTTATAGTAGTTTTATTGTGATTAGTCTCAATGTTTTCAGGCCTTGAAAGAAATACGAAGTGGAAAAAATTACATACCAAAACTTACAAGAAGTGTCATTTCATCCTTTAAGCTTATTTGAATTTCATTAAACATTGGAGCTGGTGGATATTTAGAAATCTGCTCAGCCTGCCCATATTATATGTGAAGGAACTGCAGTGTAAGGAAATGCAGGCACTTTTCCAAGGTCACACAATTCGTTAACATTAAGCCAAAAGTAAAACCAAACCTAGCAAATTTAATATTGTTCCTAATGATGCACTACTACAATTACCCCCATCGCATGTATGCAAATATAAGAGCTGAATAAATTTCAAACAAAATTTTAAAATAGCGTTGTGAAATACATTCCTAGTACATAACAAGGTGTTATTTAAACATTTATCTCTGCAGAAAGTAGTGATTTTAATTTCAGATCTCAAAGTAATTTGGGCACAATATGGAACCACGTGGTGAGTTTGTGTTACTTCAAAAGATGACCTATTGCATCCTTCCACAAAGACTTCTGAACAAACAACATAGTCCTGCAATGTTGTCTATGAAAGTAAAAGGCATGAAAAGGAGGTATTTATGTAGGCATGGAGCCAGAAGAAACTATTCATGTTCAAACTTTGGTCACTAAGATAGTATACCTCTTTTAATCTAACCAATGGAGTAAAGAATATGTAAGCTTAAAACTGTGTTTTATATCTCATAGTGGGGTATATATATGTGTGTGGGTGTGCATCTGTGTGTGTGTCCTTGTGGGTAAGCAACATATTTTTTTAAAAATTATTCAGATTTTTAAATAAATGTTTCCAGAGAGGCACTAACATTTTCAGATGAACTTTGACATAATTACAAACCTACATGAGGGAAATGATAGGAAGATGTTTTTCTTTAAAAAACTACTTTCAAATTTTCCATAAGAATACCAAAATAGATCATAATGATTTCTCTTTTCACAAATTATGCTAGGACATTGTGGCACACTTACAAATGAATATATTAGAAAAGAACCTGGCAGGGGAGAGTGAGGAAATCTAGAAGGAAATGAGTTCAAACACTTCACTTTTACTCACTTGCCTAGAAGTTGCAGACAGTGCATTTTGATACTGAAGAAGCTGGCTTAGATATCGGAAGCACAGGCAGTAGGGCTTTAAACCTGCGAATCTAGCAGTTGGAGTGTGTTGTGGTAGCTGCTTTCCTGTGCTAAACTGATTTACTTGTTTAAGGTCTGACCTCATCATCCTGTCATTCTGGGTTCCCACCTACACTGTTAACTGCAGATTTTTGCTTCAGCTAAGAAGCTAGAAGTATTCAGTGTATACAGGCTGTGGGGGAGGGGAGAGACAGGAAGAAAGATTGGTCTCTCCGTGTTTGTGCTTTTGTTAGTTCTACAAAGGAGTCAAAGAAACAAGAGATAACAAAGGCTCCGTTTCCTTTCTGTTAGAAAAGGCTTTTGTCTTTCCTCGTGCAACTATGTCAGTGTCTGACAAGAAAGAGTTTGATGTGAAACAGATCCTAAGGCTACGCTGGAGGTGGTTTAGTCATCCTTCTCAAGGTTCCCTTAACACTGGAAGCTGCCTTCAGCCGGAAGGATATGAAAAGAGAGGGACCTCAGCTCAGGGCAGGTTGAAGAACCACTCTCAGGACAGAAATGGACTGAGAAAAGGCAACAGTTCTGTCCCCCACAACATACTGGCATCCGTGCCAGGACGGGGCCCTGTTCATCAAGCGAAGCTTCAGAATCTGCACGAACAAAACTTCATAGAACATCTTCCAGCAAATGAAGATACTCCTAAAACAGTGCCACAGGAGAATTTTTGCAAAGAAGCTTGTCAGACACACTCACAAAATTTGGAGATGATGGCTGATGACAATAAAGAGGATTCTGGAGCACGGTAGGAGTTTTTGACTATATAAATGAAAGCCAAAGTCTAAGTTTAATTATTTTCTAAAGCAATAATTTTATATTAAATAGAAATCTTTGAATTTGTATGCAATCAGAGTCTTCAAGAATCCTTCCTCCACTGAAACAATGTAATAATATGTATGCTTTATAATTAATGAATAATATTTCTGGTGGTAAGTTTACTTCTCCATTTCTACATCATTAAGAATTATTTGAGTTCTAAGAGTTTTTAAATAATTATTAACTTTCTGTAAATATATTCTGTAGTTTAGATGTTGAAATCATTGTGATTCTTTGTGTAAGTGTAATAAACAAAACAGAATTTCAGACATTGAGAGTTAGGTTAACTTTGCCAAAAGAATATCTCTGCTTAACTTATCTTTATTGCTGAATATACACATACAATATGGACTTTTGAAATTCTGTCATTTTTATATGCACATATGGAACTTCCTTTGACATTTGAGATTCAGGTTGTACTACTTTCATAGATTGTTTGTAATAATGAAAATATAGTGCATAGAGTAAATAATAAGATACCACTTGCAGCAGTAATTTTTAAAGTAGGAGATAGATTATGTCAACTATCTATGGACATTAAAATTGAAAAAATGGAAATAATGTGTTTTGGATATTGTTTATAAAATGTTTGAATGCTTTTACTTTTGTGTTTGAATGGAAGACAATTCTGCCTTCATATTCTCAAATATAGCTTAATCTAGTGGTTCTTTACTTTTTTCCTTTTCATAATGACAAAATTTTTGTATTCTCAACATGTTGTAGGCAGAACTGATGATCTTCGCAATGTAATTAAATTTGGCAGTGCTATAGAAAAACTAATTTTGACAAGTTTAAAACTGTAACAGTTCAACATGCAGCTGTAATAATTTACTTGGAAACATGGATATTTTGCATACTGTGTTTCTATGGAGGACTGAAAAAATTATCTCATTATTTAACTTTCCCTAATATTTTTGCCGAACACTGTCTTGCTTATATAAATTTAAAACAAATAGAAAAGAAAAAAATCAATATAATGTTACGGCAAAAGTCAATTTTGCATAATCATATCTTTATAGGAACTCAGTTTTGTTGTAATGGAAATGTATAGTAGAGTTGGGAAATTATTTTAACTTCAACATTAGGTTGAGTGATATAGACTTCAAAGAAATGAAGTGTGTATATGTAGATTTTCTCTTGTATGTTGTGTTTACCCAAAGAAATGCATATATGCGTTGGTGTTAAAGTTGCATTTGTTCCAACTAAAAGGATTTTTACAGTAGTATAGAGTCTGTACTTTTAGATTCAGCAGATATTTGAAATTATTTCTAATTATTATGAACATTTAACTCCACTGTAGACAAATTTAAATTACCTGCTCTACTGTCTTAAAAAATTCTGTAAAAATTCAAATGAATTGATTTTTCAGCATGGAAATGCTTATTATGAAGTAAGTACTAGAAGAAAATGATGGATAATATGTCAAATATAAAACATTATCAAGTTATATTTTTTAAGATTATAGTTAAATAATTTATATTTTTCTTGTTGCAAATAGATGTAGCAAATATTGTATAATATCAGTGGAAAGTTAACAATTTCTTAATATAAAACAAGATGTAACTTTATATATGTGCAAGGATATCTCTGACAGAGGGAAGAACTAAATTGAGGACCTAATTAATTTAAATCTGATGGCTTATTACTGTATTCTAAATCCGCATGTCTTGTTGCAAGAGGATTCAAGATGAATCTTTCTGATTTACGGTTTCTCTGATGCCTTTCTTCTTTAGTGGAACAAGAGGAAAGGGTCGTGATAATATTACAGCCTCTCACCCCCTCATTATAGCTTTGTCATTTAAAAAAACAGCCGTCGGTGTCGAGAATCATTACATTAGTAAGAGATGAACTCTGACACCCAGCCAAAATAAGCATCTTTAAACCACTCTACTTTCTTTGAATAGTACAGAGAATAGAGAATGGACTAAATTACAAACGTTCAATAGAACAGGAAATCACAATTAATCCCAAGAAAGATATTAAACCCTATATATTAAAGTTATATTAATGTATTGGTTTGGCATGTAAAAATCAAAATGCATGGTTTGGGAATTCAAAAATTCAAACATATACCTACATAGTTGTATAGCTCTAATGTATTTAGAAACTGCCCTATAACAAAATTAAACAATATAAATATGTATATCGGCGCTGGGGATTTAGCTCAGCGGCAAAAGCGCCTGCCTGGCAAGCGCAAGGTCGTGAGTTCGGTTCCCGGTACCGGAGAAAAACCAAAACCAAA